TTGAAGAAGACARTTTTGTAGCATATACTGACCTAAAAATTTCTTGGGAATGCAACAGAATGATAGAAAAGCTATGTGGWGTGAGAATTGTAATCATGAAGTACATAATAACAAGGATGTTTAGTAATTTGATTGTAGAACAAAGTATGTTCAAAGAGGCAGAGGAACGCTTCACACCAATACCTGAGAGACCTTTGCTTTCCTTTTGGAGGGGCAGGATTCATAGTYAGAATACATGGCAATATAATTTATCTCCAAACTTTTTTAAACATACCTCCATCTGTTAGAAATTTTTGAATGTGCATTTCACATATACATAYATTGATCTATTTAAATTGTGTGTKCAAGTGTTGGTATATTTGACCTATMTTTACCTATATCTCAAAGGAAAGTTTCTTTATAATGATAGTGGATATGGTSCACCTTTTGATAGCTTTGAAGTGTTAAAAATGTTTTGGTCAATTTTCATATTTTTAAAACTAGAGTTTTTTATTGCTACTTCATAATATGGCTAAAGTAAAACTTGGGAATAGAAAATTTAGTTTYGTTATTTTTGTTTTTGTTCAGTTGTGTTTTATATCCATTTTATAAGAGTTACTTTATTTAAAGCCTACAATAATATATTCTGGAGACCTGCATAAATATATCCAGGTTATCTGTACTGAAAGTACTTGAATTTGTGTGGGCAGCCCTGCAAACCCTTCACCTGGTRCAGTCAGTGCCAGGCCTCTTTCCAAGACTCAACTAAGTATCTACACTGATGATTCTAGTGTCAAGTTGTATTAAATATAAGTAAAGTTCACTTTCTTATACTATTGAATTTTAAAAGTTAAATGTTTTTCTGYATCCAAAGGGAGAATGAATACTCACTTTGGAATCATTTTTATTAGCTTGTTAAAGGCTCTACATGTTATGATTTGCGATAATAATGAAAGGGTGAAATATATAACTCCATGATTAAGCCCTTGAGCTTTGGAGGCACAAAAATCTATTCTGTCTTAGATAATAGAGAATTTATGGCATCTCTTCAAAGCTTTGCATCTTTATCCATGATATGTTAATGCTTTGTTAATATGAGCTACCTCATATTGCTATTTTGAAAATGAAATTATATAATACATGTAAATTGCTTCTATATGCTAAGTTGCTAGTATTTCACTAACCCTAATTTTGATGATGTGTGAGAAGAGGATGAGAATCAGTAGGAAATTCACTCCCAAGATTACTTATATTAGTTCACTTGCCAGGGAGTTTGGGATTTRTCACCAAAGAGATACCATGGGGAGAATCACGAATGACTTTGAGCAAGTGAGTGTGATGAATACAGTCTTAGAAGCATGTGTGGTATCATACACAGGATGCCACCAAGCCCTAGTATCTTCCCACAAGCATTCCTGTTGGCCTTGTGCTGAGGGAATTGGTCTGGGCAGTTCTTTTTTACCAGATAGAGCTGCAGGCCAGGCTGGCTTACCTGCTTGGTCACAGAAATCTTTCCTTTTGTCCCACTTGGTTTTGCTGGAGATGGGAATCATGATGGTGGAGCATCAGGGAAATTTCCAAGGGAAGTATCTCCCTTCTTGCTATGTGTTTTTTGTGTCTCCAATGTCACTGTCAATACCTGAGGGAGATACTGGGACTAGGTTGGAAGGAAGGTGACTTTGGAAACTTGAGGATGCCTGAGTTTCAGGCAGAATGGCCCAGAGCTGGAATGCACCACACTCCTGAGGGCATTCTTGCCCACCCTAAGGCAGAAAAAATAGATTTGGTCAAAGTTGGGAAAGCAGGCCAGGGTTTGAACCAGGAAAACAAGATTGTGAAATCTTTACAGTGTACATTCTGATATAYTGTTAGGAAATCTAATTTTTAAAGTTACTATTTGGGTGGAAATCAATAAAGGAGACAGAAAACATACAAGACAAGAAGTCTGGTGGTCCTCTATTCTGCRCAATGAACTGGGAAATGATTCTTGCTCTTCTCTCACTGGGGRTTTTGTGAGAGGCTGATGCATGCAAAGGAGGACCATCTGGTGAGACTCACAAACATGTTTTGTGAACCAGAATAAACATGTTTTTGTGAATGATATCCCTGTAAGTCATACGTGTACTAAGGAGGCAACTTGGCTTGGTGGCAAGATGCAACATTTGGATGTCAAAATCTGAAYTGAGACTTTAGAGGCACAGTTACCAGCTCTGAAAATTGTGACCATTTCCATATATCCCAGAAATAGTATTAGCTTCACTGTGCTCAGAAGTTTGTTGTGAAGATGAATGATGCGTATGAAAAAAGTATTCAAACTTGTGACTTTCTAAAAAAAAATTCAGTTATTGCTGTCACTAAAAATGATTGTGAATCATTAAGAATTAGTTAAAAGTACAAACTCCTCCAAAACCTAAGATTCAGGGAAAAGATTCTAAAGAGTAGATTCACATATTAACTAATTTTCAGTAACTTAATTTATTGCATTTCTTTATAATTTTTATTTCTTAAGGGACATATTCTTTATGAACAATTTCTCCTGATTAAAAAAAACAATAAAATCTATTTTAATAGCTCACAATCCAAAGTGGAAATACAAATCAATTTTCTTCCTGATTTTTAACTTACTTAGAAATATCACATATTGGCTTATTTTATAAGAATTCTCATGACTTCTTAGCTCTTGAATTATGTTTTATTTCTCATTGGAAGAATAATAAAGCATATTTTCCCCGGTATTAAACTATTTATATTCTTTGTGGAAAAGATGGAGGAAGAATTGGTCAAATTTAGAGTTAACCAGTTCTGGTGATGCTTTAGTTTATATTTAATTCCTTTCATTGCAAAATTGAATTTTTAATATGACCCATATTAAAAAAAATTCTGCCCTAGTTTACATGGTATGAAATGGATGTTTATATAAGGGACTCTGGATTGGCCGCAATCATAGATTATGTGGTAATTTAATCAAATATTTTCCCTGTATCCTGACATTAGTATGCTAACCTGTGTGCTACATCAACTTCTAAGAGAAAACACATTGATTCACAGATGTATTTTTCTTGCAATAAAGACATCCAACAAGACAGCACTGAGGAGTGTGATTAACTTGAAATAATAGTGGCCCTTAGGGTTTCTGGCTGTTTCTACTTCATAATATTTTAGATCTGTTATTACCTTAGGTGAACTCTATTCCCCCAAGAAAGAAGATGGTGAATTAATTCTTTGGTGACTTATGTCATCAATATAGCTAGGATAAAAATAAAACTATGTGTCTCTACTTTTATGAGATTCTAGGTAGCTATTTTTTAAAAAACTTATTTCCCCAAAACTGCTGAATTTTCTATACTCTGATAATGATTGTGGACTCTTAGAAATAAATCTTCACACACTGACAAATGAGATTAAAATCACACACACATACACATACACACACTCACACACACACAAATTCATTTACTGTGGCAAATTCAAGTATACTATTTATTAGATTCTCCCTGATACAAGGCATAATAAAATTCTTCAAAGTAACCATTTGTTTTCCTTTCTGCCTTCAAGTACACCTTGTAGTGGATGAACAGTTTTCAGTTTCTAAAGGTTTTCAGGATTGACTAGACATTCTAACWTAGTCATTCCTTATAGAATTATGTCACTTACATTTTCTTTAGGAAGTTTACATCTAAAAGTAATTGAAATTTCTTTTTATCATATGAGCATGATTTTAAAAACATCCTATTAGAAGTGCTTGTACAGTAATTCTAAATATACTACAACCTGGTTAACAAATAATTTGATATACAGGTGAATTTAATTGGAATACATTTGTGGAGTAAACTAATAAGCTATATCATTCTCATAAATTTTAAAWTATGCTCTCTACTTAGAGCATGCTACTATATAATATCATTAACTTGTTTTTTTGAGAAAGCAGTTAACTAAATTTTCTTATTTTCTCTGCAATTTAACAAATTTATTCAAAAAATAAATTTCTGAAAGCAATGCAAAGCAGATGTGCCCATAAATAAAAACTAAGCAATTCAAACAGGAGAACCAGTTAAACATGCAACTATAAGAAGCTCTATCTCTTCACTGAGGCAATGATTATAGGGATAATATTAGAGAAAAAATTCAAATAGTGAAATTAACAAACATAAATTAGTGCAAAAGTGAAAACAGTGAACATGTTTAATGAAAAAGCTAAATAATCAATCAATAAATAATGATAGTCAAAACAATGATCTAGCCTGGCATTTTCCAAGGAGGGATATAAGGAGTACCAATATGCTGTGATATATTATGTTATGATTTATGAATGTTTGTTTCCTCCCAGAGTTTTACCATGAAAGAAATTCTACATGTCATATTCCCATTTTGTGAGTCATAGCGCATCTAATGTTTCTGAAATATCTTAGTCATTGGAACTATGCAGTGTTTTTCCTCATGTTAAAATACACATAACAAAATTTTTAATCTTAAAGTATACAAATTGGTGGACTTTGATATATTTACAATATTGTACAACTAGCATCATGATCTGGTTCCAGAAATACAAATTTTCAATTAGGCTGTGAATCAGTTTCCCTCTGGAATAGCTTTGAATTTTTGTGTCTCTAAAGAAGACATGGATGCAAAACCTAATCTAATTCAATCTTTGATTTTCAAAAATTAAAAGTAAAAAATGTGATCTTGAGAAACTAATTGCCTTTGTCTTGATCATGTTGGTAGCGGAGGCAGAGCCAGTACCAAATAGAAAATTTCCATTTCCGGGAACAGGGCATTTTCTGTTTCAAGGTATTTATCCTTATTTCATTTATTTTTCCAGATCTGATAATCCAGTAATCTACAACAGTATGYCTACATTTTACCTAGAAAAAGTCAGGATTAAAAAATGTGTCTGTGATCTTTAGAAAAGAATGGTAWTTCAGAAAGCTACATTATATTTGTTTTATGACTCTTCTTATTGTGATTTTCTTAAGAGAACTTTCATTGTAATGCCTTTCTAATTCACACAATTATGTTCTTAGGTCTCTTTAAGATTGTGGCTGATAAAACTCCATACCTTACTATGGAAGAAATTACAAGGACCATTCATATTGGACCCAGTAGACTAGGGCATCCTTGCTTCTATCATCGGAAGGATATAAAACTAGAAAGTTTCACCATAAAACAGGGTGAAAAAATTATGCTCAATTCAGTTGAAGAGATTGATGGAGAAATAATGGTGAACTGTGGAGTAATAAGGAATCATCAACATCATTCATTTACTTTGCCTTTGGCACAAGAAGGAGAATTCTACGAGTGTGAAGATGAACATATTTATACCCTAAAGGAGATTGTTGAATGGAAGATTCCCAAGAACAGAACGAGAACTGTGAGACTTACAGATTTTTCAAACAAGTGGGACTCCACAAATCCATTTCCTAAAGACTTTTATGGTACTCTGATTCTCAAGCCTGTTTATGAGATTCAAGGTGTGATGAAATGTAAGTATGCGTTTTAGAAGGATGCTCTATCAGCATGAGATGGTGGGTTTGGGAAGGAAGAGTTTTAAAGAGGCTGAAGAACAGGACTCTGTTCTTGTCTCTCAGACTTAGATTTCTCCTCTATACATATGCAAACCACATATCTATTGAGAGAATCAAATTGAATAGTGTATACACAGGTATATTATAAATTGTATGGTGCTATTCAAGTATAAAATACAGTAACAGGTACAGACAGAGCAAAATACTAATTCATTTAAATTTTTAAAAAATTATAATTTTGTTATATATGACAGCAGAATGTATTACAATTCATATTACACATATAGGGCACARTTTTTCATATCTCTAGTTGTACACAAAGTAGAGTCACACCATTCGTGTCTTCATACATGGACGTAGGGTAATGATGTCCATCTCATTCCACCATCTTTCCTCTTCCCTACTCCCTTCCCCTCCCTCCACTTAGTGCYAGCTAAACATAGTTGGGAAAGAACTGCTTTTTAAAATAGAGCACATTTGTTTAGATATTGGCTTTCTTGTATGGAGGTAGGTGAGACAGAAAGTGGTAAGGATGCAAAGTTTCCAAATCCTATTTTGTGATAATCATTTTCTCCTCCAACCACCTGTCAGTGGTCACAAATCCCTCTTAGTATGGAGTTTCCCTGACTTAAGGAACAATGATATAAAAAAAAATTACCACATAAGTGTGCTTAAATATACAATCTTCATTGAATTATTTATATTTTAAAATAGGAATATCTGGAGGGAGCAGTGTTACTCTAAAGTATTAACACCTCGAGTTCTCAAGATTATGACACATACATTGGGCAACTATGGAACAAAGGGCTCTGAACTTGGAATCAAAAGGATCAATAACTTTCAAGTGGCAGCTTTGGATGAGTCATTTAAACTGTCCAGTGATAACCTTTTATCTACCACATGGAGTTGTTTTGAGAGAGAAATAAGGTACTATTAGAGAACTACATATAATACACTTGAGAACATAAAGCAGTGTGTGAAAACATTTGGTCAGAAGGTGTCTCCTTGGATATTTCAAAATCTATTTMTCTTTGCTGTCATTGTTATTTAGTCATACAATTAGGAAAAATAATATAAGTATTTTCACAAGTTGTAGATCTCTCTATTAAATTATTTTYTCAAATATCTAACTGGAAATTGTTCAAATCATATTAAACTAAAGGTATAGGAGCTCMACTCACATTATTTTTAATATTACCAAAAAAAATTTGAGGTCACAGCAAATATTTGACCTCACATTAGTGTTCTGTTAGGTGTCCCCAAACAGGCAACTGAAATGGAAGATTGATTTTTTTCTCCATTTTCATAAAAATAGATAATGTTTTCTCACTTTAAAATTCTGTTAACTTTTTAGAAAAAAAAAAATTGGAATCCTCTACTTACCAAGTGGCTGTGAGTGAGGGCAAACCCAGAAGCTAAGCATGAAGACTTGAATTTAGATTAGGAATCAGGTTTTTGGAGGATGAATAGGAAATAGAAGAGGAAGGCACAAGGTTGGTGGAAGCAAAATCAGCTTACAGGAAAGCAGGCAGGCAAGAGGAGGGAGCTCAAATTTAGGAGGTATTAGAAAGAAGAGTGGGCAATTTGAGACAAATATGGAAACATGCAAGAGGGAGTGCAGTCAATCACAGATGTTCTTGAAATATTTTCTAAGGGGTTGAAATTTATTCTAATCAAGACAGAGTTTTAAACTGGAAGACACAGATACGAATTTAGTAATATTAGTTGGGTTTATGGTAGGCTACTCAGGTATAAATGATACAGATATCAATGGGAAAGACAGAGAAACATAGTTGGAACTAATGTTTATGTAGATGCACAGTCTGCAGGATTTGGAGGTRTAGTGAAAGGGAAAAGCAGTCAACTTTATTCCTAGTCTTCTGACTTAATGTACTGATTGRATGGAGGGGCAACTTATTAAATATAACTAGTAGAAGAATAGGAAACACTATCAGAATTGTTTAGGTGGACTTATTGTTGTTTCCTGCTAAACAAGATCCTAAAAGAAATTTTTGATTGCAATAGAATCCTTCACAAAATGTTTTAGTCCAATTTCCATTCTTTAATGATATAGACATTAAATTTTCATGTTCCTTATTCTAGATCTTCATTTCTTGGATATTATTTTAGATGGTAGTTCTTAGCTACCTCGGGACAAGTGCTGACTGTTAGTACAAAAAGACCAGGCCACTTGCAAACTTCATGGGTCATTTCAGCSTTTTATTCAGGAACAAGATTATACCTCCAACGAACCCACTTCCCTGGTGGTAAATGAGCCACTGACTAAAGGAGGAGTTTGGGTTTATATAGTTTATACTGAGAGGTGATTTAGTGAGCCTGTGAGTTTRGGCACTCAGGAATTTGGATTTTGGTTTGGGGGCCGGTGGCCAGGAGTTGGAGAGGGTTCATCTTGGAAGAGATAAGATCTATCAATGTATGGCTTTCTTTTTCATTCCCTTTTATCAGGCCACACTATTTTGGGGTTTTTCATTTTCCATATCTACACTGACTTTCATGTGTATTGACTGCTGAATACACTGAAAACCATAGGTGGTGTGCTCATGAACACCCCATTCAATATTGTTTTWGTTGTCATAGGCATTTCACCCTTAGATATAAAATGCATAACAAATTGTGGTCTTGTTTCGTGTCTTAGTTTTATCCTTTCTTCAACTGAAGACTCAAATACTCTGTGAAGTCGAAGGACCTTGGGAAGTTRCTTTATACAGGCCTTGAGTATAAGGCAGAGTCTAAACCCCTCTTGGCTTCAGTCCTTCCTTTCTAAAGTRACAAGAAAAAGAACAGGTCAGAGTGGGATAGAAGTTTTATAGAAACCTTAGGGAAAGTGCAAGAAGAAAAGGACTGGGGGCTACAGAAACCTATAAAATATTGATTTCCTGAAAAGAGAACATGGCAAATAAGTAGAGAGAAGAGGGAATACAAAATATTCTACTAGAGTTACTAGGGTTTAATATGTCACTAATGTGACAATTTAGGCTTTATGAAAAAGAAAAGGAGCAGAAATATTTAAATGAAATATTTGTTTCTGGAACCTTTGATCAAAGCCCCATATAGGCCTAAAACCTCATTAACCTTCACCATATATTTAGTGATTTAAAAAAAAATTATCCCTGTTTGGAAAATAAATATAAATGTCAATSCAAGACCACTAACTACTGGTCACATGTATGTCATTGGATGATATGTGTGTTCTTTTCACAGAAGTATAAAACTCATATTATTGAAGAAAAACCTGAAAATATCAGTACTGTACAAGGTGTTTTTTTCATTTAGGAGAAAGCCTTAATGCTGCCCCAAACCTGGGAGTACATTCTTTGACTAGATATATAAAATACTACTTCATTTTATAAATGTAGAGCTGAAATCACGCAAGGAAAAGACTCAGAAAGGTAGCATCTGAGYATTGTACTTAGGTGATAAAAGATTAGCAGAAAAAGTACTTTGTTTTTAGTATCAATAATTCCTTTTTCTCTCATTTAATTCTTAAAAATGATTTCAAAATTCATCAAAATAAAAAGTTTTATGCATAATACACAAATAAAAGTTCTTTTTAAAAAGCCAAAAAATAGTAAAGAAAACTATAACAAAGTTATCAGCAAACATTCAGCCCTTGACCACTCCCAGATTTTCCCCATATTACCTCAGAGTAGCAAAATAAATACTTAATTTAAATATTTTTTGGTATTTGCATTCCTAGTAGGAATGTTACTGTTTTTCAAGTCATTGACTTTAGATAGTTACAACTGACTTTTACATATGGCCATGAAAGGAATATTCTCTTATAAGTCTTCTTTTCCTCATTCTCTCAGTATAAAGTAAGTAAGTTACTGCTTACTTACTTTATAAGTAAGTTCACTGCTGAACCAAGTGGTGTATCCGTTTTTCTGTAATGATTACCTTATTSCTTTCTCTCCTAAATCTCTAACATCTTTGTTGAAACAAAGCCACTCAATGTCATTTTCTACAGAGCCCAAATATCAGTAAATTAATATTCTTTTTTTTTTCCCTGTGAAAGTGTTCCTTCTGAAATTACCCATTCTTACACTACAATTTGAATTGGTTGTTTTGTAGACCTACTGCTCAGACACTGTCCTTCTGTTTAAAATTAGCTGGTAGTTTCCTTTTGATCTGCTTCTGTGTTAATCAGTGATATTTGCAATGAAATAACTTTCTCTTTCTTGATTTTCTTCCAWTTCTGATGGTCCCATCCCCACTTGTTTCTGGAGAAAGTGCATAGGATATTAATTAATTAGAGAAGTTACAAGCTTAAAAAAATCTATATCCTACATAAACATTTGATTTATAGTTTGATTATTTATAAAAAGACTAAAAGGAAAGCAAGGAACCAGGAGACGGCGGGCAAGAAATGAAAGATGGAGACCAAGCAGAGTTACGCAGAGTTTATTTGTCAGAGCTGACGACTAAAGGCACATCTCTCCATAGATGGACACAGAAATTACAGGCTTGGGTTCTGTGACTTTTATGGGGCAGGGTCAAGGAATAGAGCTGGGTGGGTCTTAATGCAGGTAGTTAAGGGTTGGGTTGGTATGAGGGAGTGGTGAGCCTTTCTCAGAAAGGCCCTTGGGTGGGGAAGCCAAATTTTTCTTAAGGTGGTGGCAGTCACTTAAGATGGCCATCCAGGTGCTAAGCAAGGACCTTACATCCCCCCCTTTTTTGTTTGTTTTTGTGCCCCTTAAGGGACAGGGATGTAGATCAATCTTCTGTAGCTTCTTCCTGCTGAAAAAGGTAGTGTCTGTACCCTTGTTAGGGGCATGGGGTGTCATTGAGCAGTGGTGATGGTCAGGAGGTGCCRGGTGATGCTGATTCTGGATGGCCCAATTTTGGTGAGGGGTTGGAAGTCCTGTAACAGAAGCTGGTTCACGGTTTGGTTAGAGATCCTTTGAATGTGGTCTTGAATAAATCTAATGACACAGGAG